CAGAGCCGTACAAGAACAGCTCAAGAACGTGCAGCAGGTGCAAGCTTCTTCACAGGCGTTTGCTGCGATCCGGGCTGATGGATCTGTGGTGACATGGGGCCGTCGTGGCTGTGGCGGCGACAGCAGAGCCGTACAAGAACAGCTCAAGAACGTGCAGCAGGTGCAAGCTTCATCTGCTGCGTTCGCGGCGATCCGGGCTGATGGATCTGTGGTGACATGGGGCTGTGATGGCTCTGGCGGCGACAGCAGTGATGTACGAGATCAGCTCCAGAACGTACAGCAAGTGCAAGCTTCTGACTTCGCGTTTGCTGCGATCCGGGCTGATGGATCTGTGGTGACCTGGGGCGATGCTCGATTTGGCGGCGACAGCAGTGGTGTACAAGTTCAGCTCCAGAACGTGCAGTGGGTGCAGGCTTCTTCACAGGCGTTTGCTGCGATCCGGGCTGATGGATCTGTGGTGACCTGGGGCAGTGCTCCATGCGGTGGCGACAGCAGTGATGTACAAGATCAACTCCAGAACGTGAAGCACGTTCAAGCTTCTGGCTTCGCATTTGCTGCGATCCGGGCTGATGGATCTGTGGTGACCTGGGGCGATGCTCGATTCGGCGGCGACAGCAGTGCTGCACAAGATCAGCTGAGAAAGTAAGAAAGCAGATCCTCCTGTCTGAAGCCCACTTCAAAAAAGCTTGTGGGTTCAGGGGTTTAGGGCTTAGGCACGAGGGGTTTAGGAGTGTAGGGTTTAGGGTTTAGGAGTTTAGTGTTTAGGAGTTTAGGAGTTTAGGGTTTAGGAGTTTAGGGTGTACGAGTTTAGTGTTTAGGAGTTTAGGGTTTAGGAGTTTAGGGTTTAGGAGTTTAGGGTTTAAGTAGATGAGTCTCTGGAACTTCCGTGTAATAATTGGGGGTGCCGGGATACCTGCAACCTCTAGACCCCAGTCGTTTCATCTTTGGGCGGGTTAGCCGTAAAGAATCGCGCCAAACATGTGCCAGAATTCGCAGGAACGCTCATTCCTTTTCATGTTGGGCTTAGGGCGAAGGGCTTGCGATCTCCATAGCACGGGGCGATTAGGTCCGCAGCTGGCAACGCCAAGAGTGCGGAGAGGTCGCTGATGGTTCTCCAGGGCAGGCCGCTTGCTCTCCTGCTGATGTCTTCCTTTGCTTCCTGCTGGCAGCTTGGGGTAGCTCCCCGCAGTTATCGGGCACCCCGGGCACCCTCTGCAAGACCAGCAGAAACAATCTACGGCAACGCACAGCCAGCACACTCAGGCCTGCAAAACTTGGGTGGCATGTGTGCATTGTACACCAGTAGGGATGGGTTGATGGCATCCTGCATGCCCGAAGTTTGCTAAGATCTCGTCTGCTGGTCTGCCACATGCTATGAGCTGCTTTTGCAGGATTCTACAAACCTTTCCAGCGAATCAGATCAAGGCCGGAGCTAAATGAGATGAGGAGATGTCATCGACGATTGTGGTGTGCGGGTGGTATCTGAGCACAGCTTTCCGCAGGCGTTGATCGGACATGAGCTTGGCCGGATGGCTTACGCCATGATGACCGGACCAGGACTGAAGGCCGGAATATAGCTGCATATGACTATGTATAACTGCACCCAGCAGCAAAACTATGCAATAATGCTGCAAGCCCCAGGCCTGGGCTGGGCGGCTGTCGAAGGCACGAGGGCTTTAAATCTGCAGAAACCGTGCCTACACTTCTTTTGCTGCCCGATTTAAGGCTTTACGCTTCAATCAAAGTCACATCGGCCTGGTCTTGCACCCGAGTGCAACAATTGTTGACAGGTCTTCCTTGGCCAGCAACTCTTGCAAGGTGTGCAGTCTATGGGTCTGGGACTGAGGTCCCTGCACGAAGGTACATGCCGGCCCTACGATGCAGGTATAGAGTGGGGAAAATTGATGTGAACCTACAGGGGTGCTTTGCGGACACAGAGCCACGGTGGCTTTGCATGGCTTGCTCAGCGTTGCAAGATCTGCTCTTGTCCGTTTCGTGGCATGCCACCCATTCTGGAAGACTTCCGCTGAACTCGCTGCACTGAAGAGGCGGGCAACCAGGCCGCCTCCTCGATTGGATAGGACAGCTGCCCCGCAAGCTGCAATACAGCAAAATGCATGTCAGAGTCTGTCAGAGGCTTTCACTACGATGCTGCCAATGCTTGCCAGCAGTGGTCATACCATTCCAGGTCATATAATTTGGCAAGCATGGCCTAAGCATCTGGACTGTTGGCGGCGCTCTGGACTCAAACAAGGTAAACTCTCAGCTGTTAGAGGCGCAAGAGCCGCAGTGCAGGACTCTCCTCCCGGCGCTCATTGTTCGGTTCGTAGCCCAGAGATGCCTAGCACCAGAGCAGCTGAATAGCTGAGCTGGACGTTCTGTTCATATTCACCAGCTGGACGTTAGCTTGGATTGCACTCTTTGCTATCTCTTTACAGTTTACCGTTGGGTGATGATGCCATTCAAGAGAGGGTTTCAAGAGTGCAGGCTTTGACCCGTTTGGTCGGAAACCGCGAAGTTCGCTGGGAACGATCAATCTCAACCTCTTTGGCGGCCGCTCAGATAAAGGCTGCGGGGTGTTGTCATATTCGCAAAATATGTCGCACTTGCCTTCCAAGCATGAAGCAGCAACGCCGAGCATGAAGCATCTGAAGGCCACGCCCAGGATGGAGGGATCGGCCAGGACTGGGCGTTAAAGTCTTAAGGTGAGATGCAACTTAGCTTGTTTAACTTTTCGAATCTACGAAATTTCACGAACTCTGCAGCCACGCCATTGCAATCGCAGCTACAGAAGTGGTTGAGCGCGAGTACACAGATGCACACAGCCTCGGCGCCATGAGTTGCAGGGATCGCAGCTCTCGAGCGGCGTTGTGCGGCCAGTCATGGAGATGCTGGCCGCGGACTTTCAGATTTCACACTAAGGGTTTAGGGTTTGGGGTTTGGGGTGTAGGGTTTAGTACGTTTAGTGTCGAAAGCCCGTTCTTGGACTGCCGAAGCAGGTGGTGTCTGCTAGCTGTCTGATGCAATGATCAGACTGGGGACCCTGGTACAGCAACCCTTGGCCCCAATATGGGGGGGGGGTTTCCGAAATTGGGGGAACCTTATGAGGGGTCTATATTATAAGGGGATCCTACTGTTTGGGAGCAGATTTGGGGTCCCATATTTTCGTTAATCCCCATATCGATTAACCCTCCTTAAACCCAAGCCTCACTTTCTTGACCAGTCCGAGGCCGTTGATATGGTCGTGAAGCACGCGGCCCCGCGTGCCAAGTGCTCAGGGCACCGTTTCTTGGTGTTGGTGGTTTGGAGGTGTACACATAAACATCAGCAGGCTCAGGAGTCAATGTTTAGAGTTTAGAATGCTGAGGCGGTTTCTCGAGAGAAGACCTTTTGCTCACCTCTGCAATGGTCCTATCAAAATGGCTACCTGTGTGATTTGCAGACCCTCCGAGTGCGCAAGACGTGAATGAAGGTTTCGAAGAGAAGCAGTCGGATTGGCTAGAAGGGTCTTCTGTTACTAGTGCGCTTTGAGTGGCAGAGGCTTCAGCACGGCTGCCCTTGTTCTTTGCCGGAGGTCCTTCGTCCGCTCATATGGCTTGGGGTGCTGGCGCGCGGTGGTCCGGAGTCGCTGTGCGCCTGCCGTGTTTGTCTTTGCTTTGATGCTCTTCTGGCTTGAACGAACGCATAGCCTTTTTGCATGTTTGTAAGGCGCAAAGTGTATTTAATTCTCACTGTGCTCCATCAGGCATTCTGTACGTCAGTGCTTGGCTGCTTCAGGATGTCGTCTATGCGACAAGGGATGGATGGTTTGGGCGTGCCAGGCAGGTTCCTCCTTCGAAGTGCAGTCAGTGCAGTCAGTTTCGATGTTCCAGAGCACAGAACAGCTGTCATTTGCGAATGTTTCAAGGCTTGCATCGACGCCCTGTCTGGGCTCCTGTCGTGTCCTTCATGACGTTCCGAAGCTCAGATGCCGTCGTCCCTTTGTGCGTTGTAGCACATGTTGCCATGTTGCCACAATAGAGATTCCTGAGAGGTTTGCCAGCATTTCAAGTCGAGGCCTTTCATGCATATCCTGCTTCAGCTGGGAGCTCTGCGGAGCGTCCAGATCTGAGAACTGTCAGCTTGGACGTCATTGCTTGCAGGCCCTGGCCTCCGTTGCGTAGAAGTGTTGCGGAGTGGAGGTCAGCGCGCTCGTTGCCAGCTGCGGGCGTTCTGCTGTCAGTGCCTCAGTGCCGCAGTGCGAAGTTTGCTGGAACGAAGCTTGAGCCCTTTTCCGTAGTTTACTCATGTGTGCCCTGCATCTGGCCTTCGATTCACGGCGTAAGCCTCAAGGTCATCACCGCGGACCGGGCTGCTGCACTCTCTGCTGGAGTCTCAGCTGCGGCTCGAAAGATCACTTTAAGGTGCAGTAAGGCTAGCTACCAACTAGACCTGAACCGAGACCCCCTCCCTTATGGGGAGAAAATCAAGCCATACCGGGCCGTGATAAGAGATAGGAGTGCATGTTTTTGCCCGGAAGTAGAGGATGTAACGGGAGAAGCGACCACTGTGAGGGAACTGATCAAGCTTATTGAGTCTTGGCCTGCGTTTTCGTTCTGCAATACCATCCTCCCCCTCAGTGGAGATTCAAAGGGGAAGAGTCTTTTTCCAAAGGGGAACATGAAGGGGAAAACGTTTTTCCCCGCATCTTCGTTCTGTTTCACTCCGAACCGAGACTTGAGGGCGACGCCCTGTGCAAGGAGGTCAGGGGCAACCCTGGCCTTCAAACCAGAGAGAAAGAAATGAAGAGGGGATACCCCATGCCCCAAGGCCCCAAAAAAGAAAGAAAAGCATACAGACAAGAAAAGAACAAAAGAGAGAGAGAGAGAGCCATTTTGGCTCAAGCCATTTTGGCTCAAGCCATTTTGGCTCAAGCCACGAGCGGCTCGAGCCCCGCCCCCAGTGTCCAGGGGACAACTCAAACAAAGTAGAAGAGAGAGAAGAGGGGGGAGAAGAGACAGGGGGCATCCGTTCTACAGAACTGCCTTCCTTTCGCCCCCGCAGCAATCGACCACAACTACCTCCACGCAGCCCTACGCTTGCGGCCCAACGAGGTCCTGGAGGGGGACATCGTCGAGTTCGGTGCTCGAGGTGAACCGCTGCTGGCCGAGCTTCCCGACTACCAGCGGCGTGCGGGGGACACCGTGCACTGCTACCTGTCCGATATCGGCGACCCTACACGTGGACTACCAGGGGGCAAAGGCGGCCTCCGGCGTCTATCCCGCCAGGGACACCAACAACCCAGTGTACGTGACTTGGCAGGGAGATGGAGAACAAGATGAACACTCATGGTGGTAGCAGTGGGGACGCCCCCAACAGCCCCTCCGGGGGGGGGAAGCGCAAAATGGATACCCAGGAGGCACTTACCATCGACACCATCAGGGCCGCAATCCAAGAGGAACTTCGCCTTGAGAGAAGGGAGCTGAAAAGGGAGCTGCTCGCAGAAGTGCGGGAGGTACGCGAAGAAGTTCGGGGGCACCTGAGGGACACCAACCGCATCCTCAAGGACCTCCAGGCGCTTCAGACGATGCAAGGGGACGACCTCCGCAAGCTCGACCATGTGCAACAACATCAGGCGGGGGCTCTGGAGACACTCACCGCAGACCAAAAAACACTGCATGACCGCTTGGCCCTCCTAGAAGGCAAGTTCGGCACATGGCAAGGCAGCAGCCACGGGGGATCATCGGCCTCCACCACCGACGACGAGAAGCGGCAACCCGCCCTCATTATGGGAGGGTGGCCTGAAGATTCCCTGGCCTCAGACACCCTGCAGCAGGCGCACCAAACAGCCGCCCAACTACATCTTGAAGTGGACCTGGGGGAGGCTTTTGTCCCCGGAATCCGACGGGGATATACTATCATCCCCATCAAAGCCAAAGAGGGGGAAGACGACGCTGAACGCCGCCGCAGAATCCAACAAGCCATCCAAAAGGTCAGGAACGCGAATGTGGTGCTGGGGACGAAGCCGGATGGGACGCCGCAAAAGCTATGGATGGCATTGAGTCAAAGCCCACAGAGACGTGCAAAGGCAAAGCTCGCGGGGAAGACCAAACGCCTCGCTCTCGAACAAGGGGGCGATCCACGAAGAGTGGAGGCAGAGTTTGCCACGGGCACGGTGTGGTATCGGGGGACGAAAATCTCCTCTGGCACTGCCACTGCACCCGCCAATGCAACGACAGCGGGGGCAGGGTGGATCGATTTGGAGGCACTGGCGCGTCTCCTGAACTGTGCACCCGGCAACCTGCAGAGCGCCTGGGAGCGCATCAAGCAAGGTCTTTGACTTCTACCACCAAAGTCTCACCACTGCATGCATAAAATCAGGCATGCCCTTGCAACCTGGAACGTGGGGGGACTCCAGGCCCGTCGCGTACTGCAGCTGTGCGATGAGCTAAAGGGGACCTCATCCCTAAGGGACGCTCACCTTCTACTTGTTCAAGAAGTCGTTTGTGAACCAGGAGTACAATATGCGAGTGAACATGACATAGATTCGAGGCGCAGGCGTACACATGAGGGGGCAAGTAGCGATTAGACATGGAGTGCTGAGGCCCGGGAGGGAAGAACACACACCCTGCAGCAGCCGTCTTCACACCTTAGTGCCCTCTCTGGTTTTGAACTAGGTCCATCTTCTTTGGGGGCCGAGCCAGCACAAACAAGGGGGGAGAACAGCACCCCTAGCTTTCACCCAGCCTTGGATGGGGCACAGAGTGGGTATCAGGTACAACACTGGGCCCACGGCCCATCCACAGCCCGCCCACGAAAACCGTGGGAACGGCAACAGACGCAAGACATGGGACTCTCGCGCCCTTCGGGGCGGCTCCCCTCTGGGGGGCCAAGCGTGTGGAGAGAGAGAGAGAGAGAGAGAGAGAGAGAGAGAGAGAGAGAGAGAGAGAGAGAGAGAGAGAGAGAGAGAGCGATGGGGGGGGCGCAAACCCCGCACCTGCCCGTTCAAGAAGAAGGAGCGCAACTGCTGGGGGAGGCGCTCTACCATGAATGGGTAGCCAACAAGTACACCCCCAACCACGCCAACGGGATCAGGGGACAGATGCAAAGAGCCAATGCCCACCAGATGACGCAATGGTTCCAGGCGAGTGTCAATGTACTCCACCCTCAGATGGGGGTACTCTACATGCCACCTACCATCGAGGGGGGCACCGACACGACGACACCTTCAGCACCGCCTACATCCCGGGGGCAGAGGCGTGACCAGGACCCCAACAGCCCAAAGGAGGAGGACGACAAGTACAACAAAGTCAAAAAAGAAAAGGACGATGAGGACGATGCGGAAAAAGCAGACTGGGGGGACACGGAAGAGGAGGAAGAAGAGGAGGCAACCACCAGGCCATGTGAAACACCATCGGCCTTGAAGCAAAGATTGCCCCCCAGTCACACAGCCAAAGCAAGCGAAAGGGGCACCAGTGACGACGACAAGGAGGGGGACACCAGCATGCCATGTGAAACATCATCGGCTGCCGGTGAGGGACAAAGCCTGGACGACAATCAAGGACTGCCACCTCTCCAAGCCCACCAACCAGATCAACAGGAGACCCGCGAGGGGGGAAAGCAGGGCGAACTGTGGACACGGGAAGAAGAAGCAGAGGAGGAGTACGAGGAGGTGATGCTCGACCCGGAGGAGCCCTCAACGAGAAACGATACCAACGCCAACGAGAACACCGGTAGACCTCCACACCAACAACCTCGCCCAGCCGCACCACAGGATTCACCAGCACTGGGGGGCGCCGCGGCAACGAATCACTGCTTCGACGACAACGTGGGAGACCATACACCGAGATGCCCGACACCCGGTACAGACCTCCCAGATCGAACACCACAGAAGGGGCATGCGAGCCTATCCAGCGGGGGCCCAACCTACAACCATGACCTCCAGGAGACGAGAAATGAGAGGACCATATGAAACACCATCGGCCTCTTCACGACAGATTCCCCCAAGAGCTCGAGGGAAAGGCCGGGGACAAGGGAAGACAACCACGACAACGGCGACGACTACACCCACAAGAGCCACCTACGGGGGATCATGTGAAAGACCATCGACCCCCAAGAAGAACACCCAGCAGGAAAGGCCGCCAATCCCAAGGAAAAGAAAGCTGGGGAAGACTGGGGGCACCAGTGGAAACCGAGAGAACCTGGGAGCACAAGTCGCCCGCCTGGCGGCAAAAGGGACAGCCAAAGGGGGCTACAACGACAGCTTCGACTACTGAGCTAGCCAGGACAGTGAGTTGGGTGCCAATTAGGGGGAACAAAGCTTCACCACACCTTTAAGTCAACATTCGAGAGGGACATCATAACATTCATCCCACTTGCCGAACTGCAGGGGGATGTACCTAACCTTTCCAGCCCCTCTGCCACATAGTGGAGGGCCGTTGATAGACTCCGTGGACAATAAGCCACCTTTACACCTTTACATTTTCCTTGGCCTGGGGCGCAATTCAGGGCGGTACCATGGTTCCAACACTAAGAAAGGCACCCTGGGGGGGAAAACCAACAGAGTCCCCCAGGTGCATGTTTTTCCCCAGCTGCCAATCGTCTTCTTTACCCTCCCGTCAATAAGATGGGAATCTCAGACCTTGGACATCACGCGCCCCTGGGGGCGGCCTCCTCTTTCGGGGGGGGCCATGCGTGCAGGAGAGAGAGAGAGAGAGAGCCCAACGTGTGCTGTGGAAGGAAGGAAGGAAGAGCCCCAAAAAAGAAAGAAAGACAGAAAGGAAAGAGAGAGTTAGAGAGATGGGGGAGGGTTAGGTGCGCAGAAAGACAGACAGAAAGAAAGAAAGAGAGAGAGAGAGAGAGAGAGAGAGAGAGCGAGCGAGCGCGAGTGGTACTTCTCTTCTGTGAGGACAAAGAAGCTGCAGAAGCGGGAGAGGTATGTGATCTATGTCTCAATCAGCTGCCTATAAAGGCTCTCGGGCTCGACAATTCCAGGCCGGAGATGCAGAGGATGCCGCGGCGGCCATCCTGCGTGTGTATGGCCAGATGCCCATGGAGCCGTGAGCCGAGAGTTGAGGTACAGTCGGGCATCTCCAAACATAGTGGGCCCCTCAAATTGCCCGCAAACGAGGATGGCCCTGGTAGGAATCCCCCAAAAGGATATTAATATCCGCTGTTGTGGGGAGACCCCCGCAGGGGCATCGGAAGAGCTTTGGCATGGTGAGGCTCAAGCCTCCTGTGCGTTTCATGGCTTAGATTCTTTGATGTTTTTCCAGGTCGGCAAAGGGAGATGAACTCGAGGCCAGTTTGCAACAGTGAGTCACAGGCCAAAGGAGGAGCATGGTGGGAGAGTGGCTTTGGTGAAAGCTTGCTAAACACAGGTTCTGCTGGAGGAGGCTGCTGACAGCGCCCGGCGTCAGAAGTGGTCCTTGCGGCGTGAGGCACCGCTCCTCTCAATCCATCTGGTCTGTCGAAATGATGGACTCTTTTGAGACAATAAGGGGCCGTACTGCATTGTATGTCAGTATAACAGGTGCCCAAGAAAGGACCCTATGGCAATGAAGTCGTAACATTTTCTTCGGCATGTCCTTCACATCCACCAGCTGATGAGGCACTACTCCATCGCTGGACTCTGCCAGCACCGGAGGTCATCCTGTGTCTGCCCCATGGTATCTACCAACGTACGACGTAGGTGCATCAGCGTGGGAGGGCGCACATCGTACAGGCTAGAATCTGGGGGAGTCTCAGCGACTCTTCCGCAGCCCGACGTTGCACAGGAGCGCGTGCGCGAGCTGTTGCGCTGGAGTGAAACCAGCGAAGCCTTCCTGTTTACGACAGTTTGTGAGAGCTTGTGAGAGCCAGTCAAGTTCAGCGCGGACCTACCTCATCTGTGCTTGAAAATCGACATGAGATGTGTTCTTTCCATGGAGTTGGACACTTGCCGCTTGCCATTGCACATTTTCATGGCCAGGTGGCGCGCGCCGACTGCTTGCACTCGCCGAGCTGCGACGGGCGGCGCATGGCTTCCTAGACCCACAGAGAGGGATGTTAGGGGTCGGAGTTTAGGACTTCGTGGCTTTCACTTCTAGCTACATGTGCACCAGGTGTTTAACCTGGAACTTTCTTCATGGAAGATCCTGCTTTCCTTCCCTTCGGGAGTGCAAAGCACCGCAGCAGATGCCTGCCTACTTTTTTGCTACTGTATCAGCTCTGCCACCCTGAGATACAGATCTTCCCTTGGTTGGTGGCACTGGCCGCATTCTTAGATTGGATTTTGCAGGTTCGTTTTCAGAGTGCACACATGTCGGAGCCTGGCTTCATGGTGCCCACGTGTTGGAGCCAGCCAGTCTCATCAGCAGCAGTTTAGGTTTCGCACTGTCCCCATCGGGTCGTGTAGATCCCCTCGGTCATCACCATCACCACAAGCTGCAAATTCTATCCCGTATGTTTCCAAAGAGCCAGACATCAGGTGTTCAGCGCAAAACTCCGACTTCTTCTCGCTGTCGTCGTATGGCTGGCGCGCTGTCAGTAGCATGTTGGAGCTGCTGTCGGGTTGTGCTGTGCCCGTGTGCGCTCAGAATTCTGCGCTTTGGCAGGCACTTGCTTGTGGCTCGATTGCTCGTCGTGGCCAGGGCCTCAGCTAAAGCAATATCAAGATGCTGCGAACTACACTTACTCGGACGCTTGTCCTTAACCCCTACAACGATCAGCAAGCCCCCCCCCCCCCCCCCGCCCAACTATCCTGCGTTCAAAGGTACTATAGAGGAGGGTCTAAACCTTCCAGGCGATCGTGGCCTTGCCCTTCTTTTCGCGGGTCGACCTGGTTCGCTGGGCATCGATGTGTACCTTGGGTGCTCCCACCTCAGAGCAGTGGCCGTGTTCAGCCTCGCTTGTGTCAGAAGATCTGTGCGTAGGTTGATGGATTCTGAAGCTAGCTGGCTCGTTTGACAGGCCGACATGCAACAACAGCATCAGCCAGGTCAAAAGCATCTCTAAGCCACCGCGAAGACTGAGACCCCTCTCATGTCTGTGGGCCTACGGGAAGTCTGGAGCAAAGCCTTGTGACAAGATTTGACAGTCACTATCCACTCATAGACCACACAGTCGCCATGCGCCTACCCGAGCTCCCGCGTGACGCGCTCAATACATTCCTAGCAGCGCAGGCAGAAGACTGATTTGGGGGTTTACGATATGAGGGGGTACCTCTTTGGGGTCCATTTTAATCGGTTACTTTTTGGGGGTCTATATTCGGGGTCCCTCATTTTCGTAATCCCCCATTTTAAGTGTGACTTCGTGCGATTCTGAGACGAAGGAGTTCGTATTGAGTTCGTTGCCAGAGCCAAGTGCTCTCAGATCGAGAACAATCGTCACTAGGAACAAACGGTTTTGTTTTTGGCAGGCCGGACGGACGGGTTTTCAGAGAGCAAACAGACTCAGAAAGAGGGGAAGCTGGAAGAAACGCACAAAAAGACGTGCAGCCACGGCCCCATCCCCACTATAACAAAGCCAAGCCAAATCCGGCTGAAGACAAACCTAAGCCAACACCAAGTCAAAGCCGTGCCAGCCAACTCCTGTATAACTCCTGTGTCTGGATCGAAGTAGTTGCTTGCAATATGAGAGAAGCAACCGTCGCATTCATCACCAAGCACCGACTCAGACAACAAAAAGTACAAGGCACCCTTCGACCAAAACCCACCACAACACAGATGCGCCCTTGCCGGACAGCAAAAATCACTGTTGCCATCGTCGTTGTCATGCAGCAATGCAACATGTTCTTTCCTTCGCTGCTGTCGACTAAGCTTTGGGAGGGCACGGCCCGAGCTGGATGCCAGACGCATTAGGCGCCTGGCCCTCAGCCCCTGCTGCGAGAGAGCTTGCATGATCTTAAAAGTATGACATAGTATGAGTCATCATCATTCTGTCATCCTCTGGGATTGTATACTAAACAGTCCCGTGAAGTTTTTTTTTTGGGCGACCGTTGCTGAGGGCATTGGTGAAGACGGTGTCAGAGCTCCAGCTGCTGGCAAAGTCATCTGAATGATCTGCAGACCTTTGCCTGCAAAAACGGAAGTCGAAAACTTGCTCAGACTGCAATCACAGCACATCACAGCAGACACATTGGAGACGCGCTTAGCTGCCATCAACCGAACCAGGCGAAAGCCCGGCAGCTGATGCGCCCGTTTGTGCCCGTTACTCCATTGCTGGCATTGTCGCTGCATCATGCCTGACCACAGGTGCGGTCCCAAGTATCCTTGTGCAGCTCGCTCAAAGTCTAGTGGTCAAAGAAGTAGAAGTAGGGGCTCTTGAGGCTCTTCGGCTGTCGTTGCTGCAGGTCCTGACAGACATGGCATGGTCTTCCGGGAAACTGCGGCCAAGAGGGCAACTGGCAGCTATCTTGATGCCCGAGCTCCTGGAAAAGCGCGCCTCTGACCCTGCACCACAGTAGCTGGCCAATGTCTTGCGAGGCTCTGCTACCGTTCAGCAAAAAGACGCCTCATGTGTGATTGCTGCATGGCTGGCAGCCTGCAACCGGATGTCAGAGATGTCGTCGCGGAGCCTGGGGAATATGGCGTGGCCTGCAACAAAGATGCATGTTTGCGAACAGGCTCTCATCGACACGGCTGGACACCACAGCATGCAGAGGAGCGGAGGGCCCAACGCGCAGGCAGCCAGCAACACAGCCTAAAGCTTCACACGCCTCCAGACGAAGGACATCCTGGTTCTGGACGCACCTTGTGCCCAAGCATAGAGCAGAATAGATGATCTCCTTCCACAAGAACTGACAAACAGAGGTTGGGCATCGGCCACCTTGGCCCACTTGAGCCTTTCAGCCCTGAAGGCGACAATGTCCGAGGCCGTGGCGGAAGTCCAGGGCCTCATCTCACAGGACTCCTCCAACATGGCCCGAAGACCCGGCACACTGCGAGAGCTTCACCGGGCCCTCTCTGCCGCTGCCGGCAGCTGCCTTTTGGATGGGCTTGCACGGCTTACGCCACAACATCTCAGCAACACCGCCCAAGGGCTCGGTACTTTGAGGCCTCGTGGCATCCTGGCCACCGAGAGGACCGCTGCGCAATCTGCGAGAAACATCCCCAGCTTCCGCCCGGATGGGCTGGCGACCTTGGCTTGGTCTTGCGCACGCTTCGGCCACTACCACCCAGCGCTCTTCCATGCGATCGGGTTGGAGGCAGGGCAGCTGCTGGAAAACTCTCAGACAAGCTGGGCCACCACAGATGCTCGACTGCACTGACTGTGCATCACATAATGTGCTCGGGTGTCACGCACCATCACGCGCGACTTGTTTCGTCTCATTCGCATCCGGATTGCAGTGTGATTCAAGAAGCCAAGGGAAACCTTCGTGAAGAGAACGTCGGCACCTTGACACAGATGTCCTTAGACTAGATGCCTGTGGATTGTCCTTGTAGCTCTCTTTAGCTGCAAAGCTGTAGGGGCCTTGTTGCCTTCCCATACTTCCCTAAACCTTAAGCTCTATATGCCGTCCTTACCCTCCTAACTCCCAAGTCTTGGATATGTCTGCCGCGTAGCCAGGAATGCTGTTGGAAGCTTTCAGCTGCTTCGACTCCTGCGCCGGCCTTGCCTGGCAGCTTGTGGAGCGTGCCGAGCGCCTCTGCAACGGGAAGAGTCGTCCCCCAACCTGTAGTGCCAATGTAGGGAGGAGAAGGTTGGCCACCGTTGGAAGGCTTTCAGGTTTCAACATGTTTCAATATGTTTCAATATGTTTCAATATGTTTCAATATGTTTCAACGCGCAAGACACCAGTAGTCAGCGTTCCATCGGAGGGTGCATGAGGGTGCTCCGGAAGATTATTGGTCTTAGGGTAGCTACAGGGTTCCTGAACAGGGGCCCTTAAACGGGGACCCTTATATACCCCACAAAACCCAAGGACCCATACTTCAGAACAAGGTGAGGGACCAAATTAAGGGGCCATAAAACTACCCTTGGAATTGGAAAGCAACTTGCAAGGGCCAATGGCCTCTTCCCAGACGGGCCAAGCCTTGGCTGCCTTGCAGCGAGTTGTCGACGTCGAGGGGAGGATGACAGGACTGATGTGGTTGTGGTAGCACGGGCAGAATCAGATTGGGCACACGTGCCTTGCCTTTCGAAGTTGTGAGGGATGCCTGTGCGGTGAGAGGAGGTTGCTGGAAATCTATGCCTCGTGGCAAAGAAGACAGGGCAATCCTGCGCTGGAGTCCATCTGCCTTGTTGCGCTGGCACGCCGCTTATCCATCGAAGGAGGTGCCGAGGAAGCTGTGCAGCTGCTGCCACTTGGTAGCGACATCACATCTTAAGGCATACATCCTCTGCATTGCAGCATCTTCAGCACTTGGCTACTATGTACTTGGAAGTATGCCTTGCTCCCTGCACAGTCGCAAGGCAAGCCGCATCTCAGCGCCTGCCGCTGGATTCAGCAGCTGATGGAGTTTGGTTGGCGTGTGGTGGAGACTCCGAGGACTTGACCGATCAGTTTTCGTTTCCATGCCCTCGCAGTGGACTACATGAGCCCATCCAGCATCAACCTGCGCACGAACCTAGAAGGATCTGGAACGGAAGGCCTGGACGATTCGGTCCGGGAACGACTACGGCAAGGCCCTTGCTTCATGTGGGGGTTGTCCCAAGTCCCGGTCCTCATAGGAGTCGAGAGACCTCTTATGACCGGAACTCTGATGAAACCTTCGCCCCTGGGTCACGGGAAAAGCACAATTCCATGTGCAGGAGCTGCGACTTCTCCAGCACGCCATGCGGGCGACGCGGGACCCCCGTGCCGTCGCAGGGGTCATGGAATCTTTCGGGGCCGAGGAGCTCTGAGGATGCAGAGTGCGAGTCCTGGGAGTCTGAATATATAATTTTAATGCATTATATAGTATATATTGTATATTGTATATTATACATTATACATGATATATAATATATGATATATTATAGACTATTTGGGGCCGAGTTCAAATTTCGTGCAGGAGCTGCCGAGCTTCAGCAAGTGGCTCAAGATTGCCGGCGGCCAAAAGGCCCAAGTGCTCACAGCTGCAGCCAAAGCCAGTCCCAAAGGACACCGGGCCCTTGCAGTTCACAGACACACCCGACCCAGGCGTTACCCCCGAGCAGGCCCGTGAACCTATCTCATGATCCCGCGAAGGACTGGCCCTGGAGCTGGGTCTCTACTGTGGCTTCTCTGCTCTCCACCTGAGCTCCCTGATGAAGGTGGTTCTTTGGCTCTGACATCTGCCAGTTCAGATATTCTGCATGCTCATGCGCTGGATTCAAGCTGTTTTGCACTTCGAGGTTTGTCGGTCCATGTGGGAAGGGGGGAACCATATAATATATCATACATATACACGAGCCATACTTTTGTTTCTACATGGCATGTCTCCTACAGAATTTAGCATCTCGACTTCCCTCAACAACCTCAGCTTCTTCCCACTTCCACTGATCACACCGCTCCCCCCCTCCCCGTATGGCTTAGCGGGCACACGAAAGCTACTGGGAACTAGCACACGCCATTGACACTTTGGCAAATGCTGGCATGCCAACATGTTGGAAACCTCCTGCTGGGAAGTATTCGCTCTGGCAGTACCTCCCATTCCAACATTCCCCTTGGAATATTCCCCTTGGAATCTATCTAGGCCTTTCGATCTACCTAGGTCTTTCAACACTTTTTGAATGTGGACTCACGCGAAAAGCGTGGGGCTTCGGCTATGTCCAATCAAACGATTCTTTGGATACTCGTTAATGGGGTTTAGACGAATTTTGGGATTGCCAAAAGTTTGGTCTTGGCATTGCACTTTGCATGACTTCCACCACTTTCAGAGATTCTTTCAAAATCTTAAGGATCATATGAAGAGATTGGAGATGTTGGAACAGATTAGCCACATAGGGACCACACCACGCAGGTATTGTCATGTCTGTATGTATGTACGAGCGTGTGCATGCATGCAAATTATCTATGTCTGTATTTGTATACATATACATATATATATATATATATATTTATTTGCGTATATATCTTCCTGTATGGTTCAGGAGTTTCGGTTGCTGCCAATTCTGCCTATTGGCGTGCCTTGCCCAGTCACCAAGGTTTCTGTGGAGGCTGACTTTGTCCATGCCCTCATAGCCGTTCCTTGGCAACTGCAAGACGGATCAGATGGCGCTGTCGTGCTAGGAAGAAAGCCCACTGACTGGAGACGATGCTGTTGAGCTGCGTTCGGTGAAGTGGTACATCCATTGCTCACAGGCACCTGTCATCACAAGTTGAAATGTTCACTGTGCTTTGTGGACACCGGCTGATGCAGAGATATGCATGTAGATGCGAAAAATAACGCATATTGTGCTTGCACGGCCATTTCATGTCGATTGTTCAATGTCTGTACTGTCTCAGGAGACTCTGCTGAGCTTTGCCGGGGTGGCGCATGAGGCTGCATGGGTACGGGTGCATCGGGTAAGGAAGTTCATGCGTAGCGTGAGCAGTCGAAATGAGTGGACAAACGAACCTTCAACACCAGGTCGAGATTGTGGTTGGGCATACCGAGGAGTTGCAGTCTGCCTGCTTTCTGTTTTGTCCAGTCTGGTCTGGCCATCAAGTCAGTTTCGCCTGCCCACTTGTAAAGGACGTGATGCCGTGGCTGATTGACAAGAAGCTGAGTACCCTGGCAACAGCCAAGCAAATCGGCTGTAGCTGCATGTCTAGGTTAACTGGACTTGGTACCTCTCAGTCATATGAGTCATATACTCACCTCCCGTGCGTGACCAGATCACGACTTCCTACAGATGGCCAGCCATGTCAGGTATTCTCCTGCCCATGTTGGAATGCATGAGCACAGATAGAGTGTGAAAAGCTTCCGAGACATATTCAGCTCACTCTCTGAAGACAAGCCTCGAGACCAACAGTCACAGCCTGCCCTCGCATCTTTCCAGCCCCAGAGACTACGCCGGATCGCCAAGACAAGACGATATCTGTTGACTAGCTGAGCGAGCTTGTGTTGCCCACATGCCATGGAGGATCCCGCGCAGATTTTTACAACATTTGCAACAGTTCCAGCTTCTCCCGCCCGGAAGACCGGCTTTGAGGGCCTTCCTTCGTTCCTGCCGTCAACCTGCCAGGCAAAGTGTGCGTTTGAACCGGCTGAAGGCATCCGAGGAAGCCTCTGAAGCATGGCTTCGATCACGAAACAGTTTGGAACCCGTGAGATGGTGCGACTCAGGTTGGTTCCTGACGCCCAAGAAAGACGAGAGCAGCCCCAAGCCTTTCAAGCAACCTGTTGGAAAGAGCCTTCCTCACCTCTTGGGGCATCTTTACAGCCAGGAAGCAGCTTCCATGCTGCCAGCCGAAGTCCTCAAGACTCTCCTTTCTGAGCTGCTCATGGCATCTTCGCCCGGAGATCCCTTGTTGGTTCTAGATTTGTGTGCTGCACCTGGTGGCAAGGCCATCCAACTGGCGGAAGCATTAGAAGGGGAGCGTAATGCCTCCGCGTGCTCCATCTTGGTTGCCAACGACCCCAATGCAGAGCGGGCTATGAGACTTCGTGCCAACTTGCTCCGTTGTGGGGCTCAATCTGTCATGGTTTCAGAGATGCTGGGTGAAGACTTTGTGCAGCTTCCCGGTACTTTCCACGCAGTTCTTGTAGACGCCCCTTGCTCCGCCGAAGCCAACGTCCGCAGAGATCGTAAAGTGCTTGAAAGATGGAGGGTGGGGAAGAAGTCCGAAGCATATTCTAGGCTCTTGAGGAGACAGGAGATCCTGCTCAAAAGTGCTTGGACGGCGTTGAAGCCTGGTGGTTATATGGTGTATTCAACCTGTACTTTCAACCATTTTGAAAACGAGGGTCAATGTGAGCAGTTTCTTTCCCGCAATCCGGATGCGCGGGTTGTGGATCTTTCTTTCAAAGACTGGGGTTGCAGCCTGAGCCAGAAGTACCTGCGCGTGTGGCCCCAAAGCTTCGACACCGAGGGCTTCTTCGTTGCAGCCTTCCAGAAGGATGAAGTGACCGAAATGGGCCAAGTGCACTCTGAGCCCCTGAAGCTCCCCAGAGAAAGGGTACCGCGTTTTCACGAGCTGTTCTCGAAGTCTCGTTTGCTGGACTGGCGACGGGTCGCTGGGATCAGGAGGCAGATCCGGAGAGAGGAAGGGGTTTCCGAAATTAGGGGTACCTTATTGGGGGTCCTTATGAGAAAAAGGGAGTCCTACTATTTGGGGATCTTTTCTTTGGGGGGTCCCCTTAATTTCCTAAAAACCCCCAGGTGGGCTTCTGGCCTGGAGGTGAGGATGGTCAGAAGCACTTCCTGGTGGAGGATGACGATGGCCTCTGGATGCTGCCAATAGCCGCACGTCTGAGGTGGTCCTGCAAAAAGGACGGCGGATTCAACAATTGTGACGAGCATGCCGACCAAGCTTTGAAACCATTGCCAGAAGCTGGTGGCATGTCTAGCGAATGCCACGGGCAACTTGGTGACGAGAGGGCCGTGTTGCATAGCCCGCACCAGTCACGTCCCAAAGCCTCCAGCATTGCAGTTCAATCGCTGGCTTTATCCAAGCTGAAGCCTTGCCTTCGGGTGGCGAGAAAAGTGGGCTCAGGAAGCGGAAGCGAGTGCAGATACGAGGCAAGCGATGAGCTTCTCATCTTGGCTGGGGATCGCTCCAAGAAGGCGTCCCAGATGAAGGTGGCGGACTGGGCGGCGCTAGAGCTGAGGATCTGTGATACGACTGCAGCCAGGAACGCCCACCTCAGTCTTCTAGCAGCAGAAGGGAAGACAGATCAAGTCTACAAAGCCTTTGCCAACATGCTTCAAGCTCGCTTGCATCCAAATGGAGCCACTTACTCTGCCCTGGTAACGGCCTTGGTTGCTGGGAACCGAGTGGGCCTGGCGCAGGACCTGTCACGCGATACACCGGCGCTGAGGCTTGAGAGCTTTAACAAGATCATGAATGGATTTGCATTAAGAGGAGATGATTCAAGCGTCCGACAGATCATGCTTGAAATGAGAGAACGGAAGTTAGCGCTGGATGTGGTCAGCTACAACACCCTGCTTAAGGCGTTGCGGCACAAGAGCATTTCTCAGTGGCCGGCACTGTTGGCTGAAATGGAGTCATGTTCTGTTCGGCCAAATCACATCACCTTCTGCTCCCTCATGTCTCAGGCAGCCCGCTTGGGAGACGCCAGATCAGTCGAGGAGCTGATCCAGCAGTCACAGAGCCATGGGGTTTCGACCGGTACCTTTGCTTTCAACATTTTGATTCAGGCATACATCCAGAGTTCAGATTGGCAAAGTGCGCATGGGATGCTGAAGCAAATGCGGCAGGAATCGTTGGGGCCCGATGTCGTCACGTATACAACCCTGATGAAGGGACAACCCGAAGCGGCTTTGTGTCTTTTGGAAGACATGCGGAAAAATGTGGTGCAGCCCAACTCCGTGTGCTTCACCACATTGATCTCCTCCCTTACTCGATCTCAACAAGTCGATGCTGCGATAGATATTTCAAAGGATATGCATGAGGAAGCTAAGTCAAGAGGCACATCGATTTCTTCGCACATGGCGTGTGCAATCCTTCATGCCTGTGCCAAAGCAGAGCATCGCGCCGAACCGATTGATAGCTCTTTGGCAGTGCTTGCTTCGCAAGTTTTTCATCTGGTGAAGCAGCCTGATGCTGCCTGTCAAAGGGCCTTCAGTGCCGTTGTGAACAGGAGTGGTAACGGCTCTAAGTCGGAAACCGAGTTGGGGTTCAGATGATCTTAGCCTTTTGCAACTGGCGGCGACAGCGAGACATCTTCTGATTTGCAGAGGGCCTCTTGCATAAGTCACTGGCGGGACTCCTGCAGTTGCTGCGCTCAGAAGGAAGTGAGTCAAGGAGCTGCGGAAGACGGTGAAGGCTGGTTCCGTATGTCAAAGTATCCGAGAAATCAACTCCAAATAAGCAGCCGACTGGTTGCGCTTTCGAGCGAGCTAGTTGTCGAAACGAAAGAAGTCACCATAGCCGTTGCAGACGATGAAGCTGGTCGAAAGCGACACGTCTGTGGATGATGCGATGGCAGCAAAACGACTGCTGGGGCCACATCAGCGCTGCATACTGCGAGTTTCTGTACAATAAAAAATGACAATAATAAACATAATAACAGTAATAATGACAGCAATAATAACAGTAATCATAACAGTAAAAAAAGAAGAAGAAGAAGAAGCAGTAATAGTAGTAGGTAATAGTAATAGGGGAGGAGTGTCCAAGCTTCACCTAGCCTTAGAGGGCTCTCTAGTTCCATGAGCTCTACGGCTCGTCGCTCCGACCTGCAACGTCAAAAGCAATTACTACTATTCTTACTATTATGTAGTAGTAGTAGTAGTGGTAGTAGTAGTAGTAGTAGTAGTAGTAGTAGTGGTAGTAGTAGTAGTAGTAGTAGTAGTAGTAGTAGTAGTAGTAGTAGTAGTAGTAGTAGTAGTAGTAGTAGTAGTAGTAGTATGTTACTTGACTTGCAGCAATAACATTTAGGCTGTCACGCTTCGCAACGCAGTTGCCAGCTTCAGCGCGGAGGCAAAGTCGGCTATGTGTTCATGGACCAGCGTGGGTCCAGGTATCATGCAGATGCCCGGCAGGCAGAGGGAGGGGTTTTGCAGGCACGCAGGCAGAAGTGGGTTTGCACTGTGTGTTGAGGCAAAAACAGTATACATTTTTTGGAATCACTGCTGCTGCCCAAGTAAAAGCTTGCCGGCAAGTCTCATTTGCTAACCCAGGATCTCGATGCCTTGCTGCAGTCCGGAGTCCTGCAAGATGGCGCCGTGGTCGTGGCGGACAACGCGCCCGATGTGCACTTCAGGGTATCAGCATGTGCAGACACCAAGACACTGGCAGCAGAGTGGAATCATGCACATCTGTGTATGGTTTTGGGTAGCGGGGTAGGGAATCGGGAGCCTTGCGAAACACAAGTTAGTGGGTAGGAAGCGGGAAGCATTGCCTCGAGATTCAGGTGCTCAAGCCGGGAGCACCCCGATTTCTTTGGGCACTGACTCGCCACCCTGCGTTCACCACAGAAGTTCTTGAAGTCACGGAGCCCCTTTGAAGGCAGTAGCGACTCACTACTGCGCATTGCGCATGTTATTTAATAATCAGAGAGAGAGAGAGAGAGAGCGGAAGGAAGGAAGAGAGAGTCGGACTGGACTTGCAGAGTGCAAGGCCGAACGAAGTTGTTTGTGTTCCCATGAGCCTATTCAACTGGAGTTGCAGCTGGAATCGCATCGTTGCTGAGGTATGCGATGCACAACGTGCAGGACTGGATGACGGCCAGTGTCTACAGCAGCTTGATTGCATCGAGCCTTTTACAGTGGGGGCTGGAGCCCAAGAGTTGACCAAGGATGCTTCGAAGGTGAGCCGCCGGAGGCGCTCGCCTGCGAGGCACCACCGTCCATTCGGGTACTGGAGTGGGAAGCCGAGCGGATGCGCGGCCGCAGCCACCTGCCACAGCATGGGGGCAGGGGTGTGACTTGACTGCCATCAAAAGGGCTGTAGCTTGCTCATGATAGGGGATTGGCTTCAGCAGAAGCTGTGACGACCTGGGCAGACTTGGACAACTTGTGTGTTGTTTTTGTCCCGAACAGTTGCAAAGTTTCTAGCAAACAGCCACCGTCGAGGTCGACTTCGAGCAATGGCAGGCTTTTGCGGCCAGCATGAAGACAGCAATGTGTGAAGCGCTCGATGTGAAAGCTTCCCCCTTTTCCGACGACTCTGGACACTTAAGCTTTGGCCGCTCGTGGAAAAACTGCGGGCAGGGTGGCAGTGCTCTGAAAGAAGAGTCAAACTCAGAGGTTTGTGTAAGACACGACCGTCTTGCAAGTTGGAGATTCCAGTGTGGTGTAATTCTTCGCCTGAGCTTAATCTTTGCAGCAGCACGAAATTCCGTGTGATGCCGCCCAGGTCACAGTCTTGGGGGTGTTAGGCCCGCTACTGCTCAGAGGCAGCCGGGGAGAGAGAGAGAGAGAGAGAGAGAGAGCCAAAACGAGAAGGAGTGACAGTGAGATTGTATGTTTGTTGAGAAGTGAAGAGGGATTCAGAAAACATCAAGCAAAATCCGAAAAGTAGCGCGGCATATAAATGCGGGAGAATAGAAAGAGGTGCAGCGGACAGCATTCTGGAAAGCAGAGTAGAGTTAGCGCTGGCAATCACACGCAGTGCACGGACGTTGGTACTTTTGTTTCAGACTCCGTAGTGCAGGGGCTGGCCTCTCACCGGCAGCTGCTGCGGCTCGGGCCTGGGTATTTCAATCTTTGGCACTGTGAGTTGCCTGACGATGGGCTTTGGGGAATTAGGATGTTCAGGGGGGGGGGGGCCCTGCAATAAGGTTTACATGGGTTTCAGATTTCTTGAGCACCTTCCTCACCTGCAGAATGCCACGTTCAAGTGGGGTTGTAAAGTCAGCTCAGTTCATGGAGCTGCCTCAGCGTGTGTGAGAGCGTGCAGTTGGCTTGTAAAGCGAAAGCAAGAGGATTGCACAGGCGGCAGCGGTCATCATACAGCTACTGACCGCCACCTAGAGTAGAAGGCTGGTTACCTGAACGATAGCTACACAATAACAAATCAGGATATCGCCTTGATCCAAAATGTTCGTGCGACCCCGTGGGCGTGCCTCCTTGCAAGCTGTATGGCTGGTTGCCCTCAGAACCAAAGAGTGAGAGTTTTGGACTATGTAGAGTTGGAAGTGCGAGCAGAGGTGTCGGCCTGTACGCTGGTTTTGTATGCCAGTTTTGCGTGGATCGCGGAGAACTCAGCTTTTGCAGCCTTGCACCACACGGGCAGGCTTTTTGAAATCAGGAAAACATCGGGTTCAGAGCGAGACAGAGAATCACCTTCATGCACCTTCTTGCAGCTGTACTCCAAACAGCTCAGATGATGGCGAGTCACTGCTAGGTCTGGTGGAACCATCTTCTGGGTGGTTCAAGGCGCCTCCATACCTTGCCCCGGCTAAAGTTTGGGCACCAAATGGCAGTAGACATGCCAACGAGCTTTCATTTGTCATCTGGGGCGGCTGCGGGTTGTGAGGCGGTGGGCGCAGCTGAGCTCACGGCTAACCAGTCAGCTGGCTGATCAGGCGGATGTGACAGCCGGGGTGCCCAGCAGTGCCCGGGGAAGAGCCTGGACAGACCAATGCTTTGCAGCCCGATGTCATGTTGTTGTCTCCGGCATCGTTCTGTTCAGGCTGGAATTGCATATCTTACCCGCGACTGGGCGGAGATGGCGCGACGATCACATGCCGCTCTGGACCAGGCATAGCTCCCACTTTGAACCTACAAATGTTCTTGAGGGCTGACCAGCCTAAACAACCCAATTCAGGCTGCAAAATGCACCTCCATGTTGAAAAGCCGTTTGTAATGAGGGCAAAGTACCCGGACCGGCTGTGTCTGCAGGAGTTTTGCGGAAGCTGGCGCACAAGCCTTCACGAGCTCGCATCAAAGCTCACAGATATTTGGTCGGCTCCCCGAGCTGAAGACGAGCAGCCCAGCGACGAGCCTGTGGTGAATCTTGTCAGGTCGGACATCCGGAACGCCTCGCTGTGTACTGGGATGGACCCAGCATGCACCCCAGTTGAAGGTGTGTGTTGGCTGTGTCATGCTGTCGTGCCCATTCCTCTTCACGAACAGCATCTCGAGCAAGGTCAGCCCACGTGTGAAATCTGCACGGTCCGCTCGGGCAGCTTTGTATGCAATTCACGCCTTGGAGCTTTTGTACCCTAACCAACAACAACCGCTTGTCCCCACTTGCTGCCACACTTCTTGACACTGACCAAGGCTGTCCTTGACCGAGACCCTGGATCCATGGAGGTTTTCTCCGCGCGCAGCCAGAAGCAGGACTGTCCGATCTGGTGCTCATGAACGATTTTTCGCGACACGCATCCTCCTTTTTCAGACATATATATATATATGTATGTACATATATATATATACATATCACATATATATATATATATACGTATCATAGCCGCAAGATCTCATTGCTTTTTTGGCTCGGTCCTCGTGACACCTGAAGCCCCGTGGCCCCCAAACTGCAGGAAACCCTTCGATACATCGCAAGTTTGCCCGTGACACAAGGACCGTGGTTCGATAGCGCTGGCCCGAGCAGGCAGTGCGCCCTTGGGAGGCCGTCCACAAGGGTTTAGGCATGAGGGTGAAGGGCATCGGCCCAAGAACAGTGCCATGACTTGCAGCTCAAGGTATGTCATGTGCTCGATGTTGGTTCGGGAATCGGCGTTGCAGAGTAGCCGTTTTATGTTGCATCGCCTGCTAGACATGCGCATCGGGGAGCGTCCACACTGGTCAATCACACTTTAGAAGGTCACCTTGAATCGAAGGTTATCGTTATTCGTTTTTTCAATTGGGCTTTCGTGCTTTGAGACCGACATGTAGTGCCATTGGGTTTGTATTTCTCTCCACGCATAGTTCTGCACTCCTTTTAAGGGTTCAATGTTCGTTTATCGAGCAGACCCTGGGATGGCTGTTGCAAGAGGGGTATTATGCAGTGGCTTCGAGGCAGTATGCGACAACTGCAACATTTGCAGGGTGTGCACGGCAGGGTGTGTGCATCCTGCCATGAGTTAGGGCTGTTAGGGCTATTTAATGACCTGCAAGCAGTCGATGGCAGGTCAGTCGATGACGTCCTTACAGCTGTGGCTGAAGGCCTTTGCTGTGAAAAGTGCTGTCAACTCATTCCCGTGTTGTTATGCTCCAGCAGTCTCCACCCTCAGGACGGAGAACAGATCTTTTGTTGCACGCAGGTGGACCGAGCAGTTCAACGAGCCCTGCATGTAGAGGCTGAGCGCATGCGCAAGGCGGGTTTCCTGATGTACATGCGTGTAAGTGTCACCTGACACACAGGAAATAAGCAAAGTCGATTGCAGCAAGAGTTAGGTGAAGAGCTTTGGGCCTTTTCTGGAAGCAGCTCACCTCGCATTGCTAGGCCTTGGAAACTGACGACCCCAAGACATTGCAGGCAGGGTTGCGGACGGCAAACAACAATACTGTCAGTACACCGGCTGTATCCGCTGCACAGCGTTATTTGGTCTCATGTGCACATCAGGCCATGATGAATTGGTGGTCAGCAAACAACAGCAGCATGGCGGCATGAGACATCACGCATCGTTTGCTTGAGCTGCCTCCTTGAGCGCATTTGAAGCCTACGAGCTGAGGCTCGGTGGCGAGTGCTGCAGCCGCAGCGGTGTCCGCAGGCAGTGTGTCCAGCAAGCAGCTTGCAGGATTGTAGCTGCTACCTGGAGTTGCAGTGGCTAAAGTTCAAGTGGACGTCTGCCGAAGCCTTCCGGTCGCAGAACGTCGGAGCTGCAACCTTGATAGCTCTTAGATATGCTCTTGGATATGAGTTCTGAAATTGTCAAATTGTTTTCGTCCCACCTTGAACAACAGCCCTAGGTTCCAAGTTCCCTTGAAGTATAGGTAAAAGTTCGCAACCTTACGCGAGAGATCATGACAGGCAGCGGTCTGCTGGATGATGGATTTGTGGCAGACTCAGCTGAGCAGTAACCTTCCTTGGTCCAGACATGTAGCCAGCAACTTGGCAACTTCAACCGGCCAGGACGAGCAGAAGGAAACCCTGGGTTCCCTGCTCTTGTCCGAGCGGCTGCACCAACGCCACGCTGGCTCACTTTCGGACATCTGCAGCCTTCCGGGGCACACTCGCTACAAGTTGGAGCTTGTTGCCAAAATGAGGCTTTCAGTACCGGTCCTTTGCCAAGGGCGATGAAGCGCAGATGGCTCAGAGTCGAATAATAAGAGTGCTCTCTGCCAATTCTTAGCAGCCACGCAGTGGAGGCCCGGGCTGGAGGAGCCCAGCGCGGGAGTCGAAGAGTGCGGCCCTTGGAAGTTTTTTCCGTGTGCAGAGACATGAGTTCCCCAGCCTGTTGGCCAGTCGGAGTCACCGAAGTCGAAGCATTGGCCCAAACGAGAGCTGCTTGCCGAGGTTCGAACGGCTAGAACAGGCCCTGGCAACGAACTTTGAGTCCCTCCAGGAAGGTCGTGCAGCATTGCATTCGACGCCATCACGACGCAGACTCTGGTGTTTGAGACGCTTGGAGGACCTTCGAAGGCGCCTTGCGCCAATGGCCTCTCCGGCAGGGACACTGCGCTGCCCCTGCCCGGTGGCCCGGCGATGCCCTCCAAAAGTCACTCCGCTTCTTGAGCCTTATATTGCCAATCAGGCCGCAAGGATCTGCTGGAGGGTGCAGCGGAGGTACAGGCAATGTTGCGGAGAAGTGGGGCACCCAGAAATGTCAAACATGAAATAGCATGAAATGAATCATGGATCCTGGATTCAGCCTTTGTCCAGCCTTATGCAAAGGTTTATCGTCGACACCCTGGGCGATGATGAGGTATGCCGAAGAAGGAAAGCTGCTAGGTTGCAACCACGGCGTTGCTGGCAAGAGCATCTTGAGCTGAGGTTTTCAGCTTTCGGTCTGAGAGGTTAAGACAGCCTCTTTCTCTGTGAATATATATATATATATGATATATGATATATGCACACACGCTACCCGCTTCATGTCATGCCCAAATCAGGCCAGCTGCCGACGTCCCGGAAGATAGCCCCGAGGCAGGCCGCAAAAACTTGCTGCAAGGTGGCTGAGAGTTCCTTTGTTCGGAGATCACCGCCAGTCCAGTTCCTCAGGATCGTCAGGCGGAGCGTCGCATTTTGATGACCTTGGCCTTGGCGACCTGCAGTGGTCCCTTGGCTTGGGGGTCTCGTGATTCTAGCGGCATGAGCTCACTACTTCACAAGGTCCTGAGATGCAGAGCTGAGGTGTTGCGGCAGTTCCGTATGCTGCGAAGCCCTGAGAGGACTTCCGCCCATGCTTGTGGCAACAGGGTAACTTAGAGACCAAAGCGCGCTCTCTGGAGCTTTTATGCATGGCTTCAGCAAGTGAGGTCTTCGCCGGGGCTTGGCTGTGGGCAATTGCTTTCTTCGGGTTTGCCCTTGCAAATGCGGTGGCGGCCTCAATGTGGCAACATCCGGCAAGCGGTCACGAAAGAAGGCTCCTGAACAGGGCATGTCAGGGAGCTTGTGCTCTTTCGGATATAGGGGTACTGCCTCACGTATCCCAAAATCCAACATGCTAAAATTTCTGGAACCCTGATTATTCATGATTGCTTATAGGAATCCTAAATTAAGGTGTCACCGCTTTGTCCATGTAGAGGTTCTGCTGCTGAACTACCAGCGGCTGTCGCTTCCACATGTCGCTGGCTCAGCAGCTTCGATCCGCTCCCTGTGAAAATCTGCTACAAAGTGAGGGTCTGCAAAATTAGTAGTTTTTTCCGGGGTTCCTATATGTAGGGCTTTCGTGGATTGCATAAGACACATAATTTTTTCAGGCCGTTTGCAACCCCTTTTCCCAGGTGCACCGTCGCTTCGAGCGCCAGCTCAGCCACCTGTCGTCCAGACGGGACCGCTCTTCCAACAAGTAGACATCTGCCGACATGGCATAGTGAATGGAGGTTGAGCAGGCCCTCAACACCGTTCCCTAACTTCAGGAGCAAATCCTAGTGGAGATCCGGGACCTCCAGCGCTCTTCGCAGAGGGCCGGGGCCGCACATGCCCGCGCTGCGGACCTAGATGCTAGCGCTTCGAGATGAATCCAGCAGTTGAAGCGGCGAGGGTAAAGATGCCAGCGTCAGGTGCATCAGGTTCTTTCATGCCCTGCTTTGCAAGAAACAGGGCAAAAGGGGTTCCACGATATTCAAACTTTGATTCAAGGGACCTTGCTGTTTCTTCGGTCGAGGCCTGCATCTTCCTGCAGAGCGTGAACGTCCTGCGAAACATCAACTATGCCGAGCACCTAGGAAAGCGGGACGCGCCAAGCAATGTTAGTCTAATTTGCATCCTTCGGGTGCCTTCCTGCTTCCCTTGTCCAAGTTCGTCCTCTGCATCAAAACTGAAACGCAGAGGGCAGCAGCTGCCGGGAGCCCACGTTTGTCCCTTGACGTGCCTGCTGACCTGGTGCTGAGTATCACTTAAGTCAACTTTAGGCGGCTTCCTGCACTTCCTGCATCTTCCCAGTGCCATGAGCTCCCTGCATTCTCAGGCAGCCATGGGCGGCATGGAAGGAATGCAGGAGAGCGTTGCCAGAACCCAAGGTGTTCCGGCTCTTTGACGCCGCCGCGTGCGAGCTGACTCGTGGACGTCAAGGTAGGAAAGGCGTTGGAACGATAATCACGAAAGCTCGCACAACGAGGCTTTCGTTTCACTTTGCGCAAGCATTTAGTGGGGTGGACGCCGTCCGGAATCATGGAGGCATTGTATTGTCTTTCTTTGCCTAGGGGCTGGCTTTGCCTAGGGGCGGGGCGTCAGCCAGGATGACTAGCACAATCAGCTGCCAAACTGCCTCATGTATTGAAGCTGTCCATGATGTCCTCAAGTCAAGGTCCTGGGAGGTTTGAGGCTGCTCCTCGCCTTGCTCCCGCGATGCGAGCAGCGGTGGGAGGCTGGGAAAGCTCGTGCTTGCCACTGCCCGGCAAGATGCTGCCTTGCAAGCTGAGATCAGGGCGAAGTGGCAAAGCCACAGCATGCTTTCGTTGACTTCTGTTCTGTCATAGCTTGTTGTGATATTATGATATTATGATGTTGTGATTTACAACTACCACATAGTGCCTACGGAGGCTGAAATTTTGGCCGACGACGATTGTGGGCAACTCAGATCAGTTTCGTGCTTCGCCTCCGGTAGTGCATGGGTGGGTGCCTTCGAGGCCGTGTTGCTGTTGCTGCACTGTCGGACAGAGAGGCCTGCGCTCACTCAGGGTGCAAAACGGCGGAAGCGCCGAAGACATAAACAAAGGGTCTCATGTTGATCGTTGATCTGGTCCACTGGTCAAGATCCTGAAGGAGCTGAACCTGCAAGGGATAGGGAACGGCTAACGAAACTCAATATCTTCACAATAGTTCCCTCCCCCAGCTTTCGCCCAAAATGTCTGTACAGGAGGCCATCAACAATTTGGGGTCTGTGTGATCGGCTGAATCCTGAACTAGCTGAACTTGGTAGGGAGCAAGCACCTCGCCCTTGCCCTTGCCGGTGCGGCCTATCGAGTCTATACTTCATCGACCCTGTTCCCAATAAGAGAGGGCAGCCTACATCCTGTCACTCCTCAACCTTCCATAGTTCGACTTGTGCACCATGATGTCATGTCAACCGTTGTTGGGTTTTCCGGCCCCCCGGCCCGTCTCCGAGTCCCAGAAATCTGCCACAGCCTCTGATGCAGACTGAGCCCAACGCACGGCTCGTCGCCGAAAGCCGCAGCCTCTTTTCTGTATGCACAGCTTGCCAAGTGGCTGAGCTGGCAATGTTGCTGAGGCCAGAAGCGCTTGTGGATTTTGCATCTTGGAGCAAATACTGAATACGAGCTTGAACTTGTTACATCTGCGATCTGTCCGGCTTCGGGTACGGCGACGTTTCTGCTTTGTCATGTCGACTGCTTGATTCCTCGTCATTGTGCCTTTGAAGGCGTCTCCTGCTTTCTTATACCGTAAGCCCACAAACCTTAAACCAAAACCCCTACCGTCCGGCCAAGGCTGAGAATGGTCCATCTCTCATCGGTTCTGCCGATTGAGGCGGCTTGTGGGAAGGGCAGTTGCGCAGTTGATTTGTATGGGCAACAGGCGCAAAGAGCACTTGCACAGTACCAGGGTCAAGAAGAAACCTGCTTGTGGTACCGTTGCACAATGGTTCGGCTTGATTGAATAGTGCGGTAGCAGGATGGACCTCCGCAGAAGCATAAGACGCCGTAAGGCATGGGAATCGAAATTATGGGCCACACAAAGACATGATAGAAAAGAAACAACAAGCATTGTACCCGAGTAGTTACGCATGAACACTAACTAGGTGGACCTGCTTGGGATGTGGCAGGCACAAGGCCAGCTCGGCTCCCTTATACAGCGTTATGCACGGTCCGGCCCTCAAGCCTAGGGCTTAAGGTCATGTTAGGGTTTAGGGCCTCAAAAGCACATGCTATGCCGAAGCACCGAAGGATTGCGAAGCACCATGAACTCGAAGCTTCTGGGCCTTTGCAGCACAGCCTAGGCCGATTTTGATTGAGGGCCGCGTCCCGTTGCAAAATGCATCGGCCTTGGAGATGACCAGCAAGACAAGCCCGAAGCAGGACAGTCTCCTGCAGATGTTGAAGGGCCCTTCCGGTTTAGGGTTTAGGGTTTAGGATTTAGGGTTTAGGGTTGGGGGTTTAGGGTTTAGGGTTTAGGGTTTAGGGTTTAGGGTCGTTCAGCATCTCAAGTCCAAGCATTCACTAGTCAAGCAATTACTCCAGGAAAATACCCACCCGCCCAAAGAATCCCACAACATTAAGAAAATATTTCACTTATAGAACGACCTTGCCCAGCAAAAAAATGACCTTGTCCAGTAAAAAATGACCTTGCCCAGTACAAATATGACCTTGCCCAGTAACAAAATGACCTTGCCCAGCCAAAAAATGACCTTGCCCAGCAAAAAAATGACCTTGCCCAGTAACTCATTGACATTTAAATTATATATGAAAGAGAGGTTTAGGGTTAAGGGTTTAGGGTTAAGGGTTTAGGGTTTGGGGTTTGGGGTTTGGGGTTTAGGGTTTAGCGTTTAGGGTTTAGGGTTTAGGGTTTAGGGTTGCGTGGCCAATTGTTGCCTCGGATTGTTGTCCGCAGGAGACCCTGCTCAAGGCGGCCGGCAACGGCGAAAAGGTCGAAAAGGTTCGATCGACCCCACGAGGCAGAGCTTCCAGCTCAAGTTTCCTGCCAGGTGGCGAGAGTTTAATTTGAGGCTTGCAGCATCTGCATTTTCAGGTTTTGAGAGGTTTGTTTTTTTGCCCAGAGGTGCGCCCTCCTCCGCTCGCCGTGCGCTGCCGCCTTCGGAGGAGATGCCGGAATGGATGTCGCAGGCACTGGGGGAGAATTGGGAGCATTGTGCACGGCTCTAAGTACTGAGACTCTCCTGCATGCTGTCACCCATGGGCTGCACGCTGAGCTTGATATCCTTGCACTTTGTTGTTCTCCGGTGGCAGAGGTTTAGCAGTTTAGCATTGCAGTGCACCTTCCCAAAGTCTCAACACCGTGCAGTCTGTACTCGGTTGCCGCATTGCATTTGAACAGTCGTTGGGCGCAGCGTCTGCATCCTCAGCGACTGAGAGCCTGAAACTCAGAACGTCCTAAAAGAGAAGTCGATGCATGACCATCTACTTCTTTTCTCTTTTGGAAGATGCGCGTTTTTTTGATGTTAAGTCGGTACTGTTGCAGTTGAGGCGTGACCAAAGACCTGCTGAAGCAGCTCAGGGCCACGCGAAAGGATCGGTGAGCGGGATGTGACACGTTTGTCGGAAGCACGTCGATGTAAAGCCACCACTGGTCAATCAACCGTGCAGCAAGGAAAAAAACAAACAAAGACATGTGTCCTTCGCAGTGGTGCGCTGCCAGCAGGCATCTTGGATAGCTGATTCAATCTGTTCATCAGGATTGCATGCGGATCCTGCAGCGGCTACCTCCGGAGGCATCAGAGCACTGGAGCGTGCTGCATTCGGTCCCGGAATCCTAAAGGGCATGAGCCGCAGTTCAAATTTCGATTGGCGCTCCGTGCATCAGATTCGGTTTTGATGTGCAGTGCTGCCGATTTTGCAGGCCCTTCTTTCCCGAATTGGCGAGGCGCAGCCTTCGAGAGTAGTCCCAGCATCTACCTAATGTGGGCCGCAACACATGAAGTAAGAGTTGGGCAATGTTGGTCACAATGACTGGGTCCTGAGATTCTGTTCCATCGATGCCTCGAGGACACAACAGCAGTCTTGCGGGACCTGTTGTCGTCAGTGGTCGTGACAGTCCTGCCCGGAAGCAGCTTGACTTCATCAGTCCACCCCCTCCAAGAGAAGGGTGCAAGATCGGCTTTGATGTGCCTTGCACGTCGGGACTTGTAATCCTATCTCTCGCAGACGTGCTCTGACTCTGATTGTGCATTGAGGTGGCACGGGACTCACGCCAAGGACATAAAGAGAGTGTCAGGGTTTGTGGGGGCGCCGGCTGTTCCAGCGATTGTGGGTTTGGGGCTTATGCTTGTAGGCTCTATAGGGTTGAAAGGGAGTTCAGTTAATTAATCGGTTTTTGTGTTCCTGATTCAAAATGGGGGGGTGCTTTTAAGGCGAGGCTCATAGGGTCTGCTCCATGGCTCCGTCCAGTGCACTGGGGGCGATCTGAGAGGAATGGATGGTCGCTGGGGAGATCTCGTTCTTGCGTTGCTTGCATGTTTGTGCATAGGGCGACGCAGGCAGTTCGGGGATTCGGCCAAGCTTGGTAGTTGAAGGTTTCTCGGTTTCTCGCACAGCTCCTTATAATTGGATGGATGTTCTCCGAATTGGGAGGACTGTTGAGTTTATGGCAGCTAAATGAGCGACAGACCGTCAGTTCACAGTGTGGTCACGACACGGTCGAGCATGCAGCAACCTTGCAACGGTCTTTCTGCCAGCTCCCGGCCGTGTGGCTGTTGCCTTGGGCTACCGGCACGGCGAGACAGACACCTGGCTTCATGGTGACATGCGCCTCATTTCTATGCCGTCACTACTTTCAAGCTTGGGCAGACTTGCATCCCAATGAAGCAGCGATCTCTGCAACAGCTGTCGCATGTCAAGCGCTTTCGATGAACAAGTGCTAAGAGCAAGTGCAGCAAGACAAGGTGTACGTGGTGGAGAATCTCCGGCTCAACTTGCTGTTGCGCGTGGCATTCATCAGAGGCCTGTTTCTTCAGATGCTGTGCACGGGGCGCATGCAATCCTTTCTTCTGCCCACATGCGGCTATTTGCATGCGGCCAAATCCGAGGTGAGATGGAAGATGCTCGATCCGGCAGCATCAACGAATTGAGGCATCGCAACATGATCTATATTCAGCCAAGGCTGTTTTCATACTGTCATGTGTGTGTGCGCACATGTTTATGCGCGATTGTCGCTTAGGAAGCGCGGAAACAATGGCCTACAACTCAGCCCCTGAACTTTGTGCGCTGGCAGTGAGCTGCGCATGAGCTTCACCGGTGCGTGGACAAGCCCTACCATGTGCTTGAATTCGAAGTTTGGACGTTGCGGCACCTGGTCACCTGTTAAACTCCGCTCCGTAGCCTCTGGCCGAAATCTCCTGATGCATGGAACATAGGAGCCTGTATACCACGGAACCAGCTTGAGTCGGTCGCTTTGGAAAATAGACACGACCTAGGCAACGTGCAAACAATGCAGACGACATACAGTAATCAGGCCCGATGTGTGAGATTCGCAGCTCTTCGCTGTAGCACACATTCTGGTGCGACATGGCAACTTTCATTGCCTGCCTGGGGCAAGCGCTTTCCCCGGACGGTTCCTTCACCCATAAAACATCACACATATGTTTGTACAGCGGACAGTGCAAGCCTTTGACTTCTTTCGGTTGGCACAAACTGTCAGGTCGAGTTGGACACCACAGAAGTTGCTAGTCGTCCAATGCCCCGGATGTGAGGTTCAATCCCGATCGCATTGGCCAACCGCGTCGCTCTGGCTGCTGAACTACACCGCACGCATGGGGGTGCACCCATCGTCCTCAGCGGCGCTGATGTCAGCGGGGTTGGCATGTCTGAAGCACAGGCCGCGACCACTTGCCTTCATCCTCAAAGTTCGCACAAGCGGCCTCTTTATTTCGCATCGTTGGGTTTTTCCGTATCGATCGGCGTCCACAATGGGGTGATGTGTATTTTCGCGGTTTCCTTTCATATTCCCCCCTCCCCTCCCCAGCCCTCTCCCTCCGTTTCTCTCGCTCAACACAACCCACTTCACAGTTCAGCCAGTTCTGTTGGAAAGCTGCTCTGATGGAGCTGAAGTCGCTACCCATGTCCGAACGATGTCGTCTTACGAGAGAGTTCAGGGGCGCATGGATGCCCGAATCATTGGCGGTTACATTACAGTCTTTCATGCTCTCGAATGCTTGTGCTAGAGTCGTTTGGGTTTTTTGGTTCTCACTACATTGCGTGTCAGTAGGTGGAGCTGTTCATCTAGTTTAGTCTCCAATAATGGTTAAAGGTAAGACGGCAATAACATGGCACCCATCAGAGTGTGACTGGTTCCTCAGGCAATGCGAAACATCCTTCTGGCAGCGCCACATAATGTCAACCCAGAGAACCTACTTCTGGACGAGTCCGCTCGGAACACGATCGAAAACGCCCGCAACACGCTGGCAATCATGAGGAAGCACGCACCTGGACAGGAGCTTAAGTTGCACCTTGTGACTTCCGAGTTCCACTGTCCCCGGTCTGAGTACATCTTTCAGAACGTGCTCGATGCTGAGGGGGCAGCGGATGTCGCAATCAACGCATCTCCTGCTCCCAGTGGCTTGCATGATGACATCTCAGACAACCCCAAGAAGCCGATGGTGACCGACTTCAAGGTTGACAAGATCATGAAGGATATCAACGACTGGGGTATCTTCCTGCGGCTCTGTCACGAGCATACCCTCATGGAGGTCAAGATGCGAAGATGGCTTGCAGACTATGGAATCGCCAAGCAGGATCCGAAGCATTACGACCGCGCGGTCGCACAGATCCTCGCAATGGTTGAAGAGGCCCGACAAGGCAGGTTCTCAGCAGCTGAACCAAAAAGCCGCTGAACTTTGCTGGAGGACTTGTGATTCTTTCATAGCAAAATGAGAGAAACAAGCGTTGGAGGGCCAGCCTCAGCTTGACCGTACGCACACACACACACACAAGCCACGCAAGAGCAACTTAGTGTGCATGGACATCATGAAACTTGCGCCCGAGGCCCGAGTCGCGCCGAGGCGTCGATGCACAGAATCACCTGAGTCTTACAAGCGAAGCAATCTGAATGCGGCCTGTTGCGGCTGTAATGGTTTCTAGCTTGTGCTCATTGTACGCCCCATTGCAGGAAATAGAGGTGCCTTTGACTGCCCCTGCCCCAGCAAGGATTTGCAGGATTTGGCAACTAAATGCGGCATGGGCGTAGGGAAATCTCTACCAAGAGGGAGCACAGAGCAGAGTCCTCTCTCAAGTAGGGGGGTTGGAAGCGTGGCGCGGGACTGGCATTCGAGAGAAATGCACGAGACTCGGCGAGAGCACCGCTGCACTAAGGCAGTCCTCGAAGAAGCTCCGGGTGAGGAGGAGAGGGTTTACGCCTTGGGGCGGCCCATCATGGACTTCGCAGGTATTCCGAGTGTGAGCCATTGAGGTCATATGGTCATACGAGTCATACGAGTTTTGTGAGAGCAATCATGAGGCAGTAGCTTGACTCGCTGCTTGACCTTGTCTCGACAAATCAATGCGCTGTCACCCACGAACCATTTGCCGTTTGTTGCAGAAGGCGTGCCCCTTAAAGCAGAGTAACAAGCACCAACGAGGAGTGTGATGTTATGTTCAAGTTTAGATTAAAAAGAGCCAGGAATTAGTTACCTAGTGCAACATGCGCCCTCACAGTCATCCCCAGGAGGCCGAAGCGCTGTGGCTCTCGCTTGCAGCTGCACGCCCGGCATGGAGATATGAAAAAGGGTTTATGTAACTGTTCTTGGTGAGCATTTCGAGGGTTCCTCATAAATATTGGTGAGTGTGCATATTGGGTGTCTGAATGATGCCAGGCATACCCCGGCTTCTATGGAAACAATGCGCTGCAGGCCTAAGCTGGTGCAAGTGTGGCACTCTGCCATGCTAAGCTGATCCCTTGTCTTCCTACGCCAATCAAATGATAGGAACACATTCCAGCACACACACACACCAGCATTCCTAGAAGCTTCCTTGACGTCTTTGAATCCAGTTGTAAACGCTGGCCCGCTCTGCCTCGGCAGCTGGAGCTGGCCCCACGCGGGGTGTAGCACGGGCAACGGTCCTAGGAGGGGTCCACGGAGGCATTCAAGGGGGGGGGGGGGTGTTCAGAGGGGAGGGGTCCCAGGGAGGGCCCGGCAAAGCATCACAGATTCTGGGCAAGCGGGGGGGGGGTAAGATGGACACTTAAAGGCTATGCTGCGCGTGCGTGCCTTGTAAACAAATATACTTTACAAAGGAAACACCCGCAGAATAGACGCAACGCACCCGCATAATAGACGCAATGCACCCTTAGCATCAGCACACTGTGTCCTGGGCGGGCGCGGAGGGCGCGGAGGGTGCGGAGGGCGCAGAGGGCGCAGAGGGCGTGGAGGGCGCGGAGGGCGCGGAGGGCGCGGAGGGCGCGGAGGGCGCGGAGGGCGCGGAAGGGCGCGGAGGGGGCGCGGAGGGGGCGCGGAGGGGGCGCGGAGGGCACGGAGGAGCATCCACGTGTCCCCACTCCCCTGCCAATATCACGCTCCCCGCCACGCCCCTCTCCCAGCAAAATGTTCCGAACCCCCTCCCTTGACCGTGCCGCAGCCTCACGTCAAAACTCCTCCAAGAAGCGATCCGATAGAACGCCTCAAACGAGAACCCAATTTCAGAATTGTTTCGGGAAGAATCCAAGAAAACAAAGAGCACACACAGAATAGACGTTGGGGGGAAGGAGACCAGATCCTGGCCTGCTTGTTCTAGTCTAGACGCCTCTCGGCTGGAAGCCGAGGCGAACTATGAATTTTATGTCTGCAACCCTGACTTTCAATCTTCCGCTCGCGTCGGCTTTGTTGCAAGGAGCGTAAGAACGCCCTCCGGCGAGTCTCCGCTGCTGCACGCCAGATGCGACGAGGCGAGCTGGGTCTGTATATGAGAGGGGAGAGGCAGCAGCTGAGGGAGTCCAAGAAATCATGAAGTTCATGCACAGTTCACGCCAACCAAACTTGCCTGTAGGTTGAGGAACCTGCCCCTAGTGAAGCCGCAGAAGGCGCGGGCAGTCTCTTTGCGACTTTGCGAGTCCTGCGGACTGAGTGCCGCTTGCAAGATGCGCAAACATGGTGATCGTATGTGATAGTTTTCCCCAGAGTTCACCCGAGCAGCCTGCCAGGCTCACTGGAGCTGTGAGCTGCGGGCGGGCGGACAAAGTTTCCTTAACGTTGCGTTTGCAATCAGAATGATTGTCAAAATGAGTCCAATTACTTGGAGGTTTAACTCCGAGGTCCGATGATGTACCATTTTGGCCCTTCTTGGAAGCAAACAAGCTTTTGCTTGGAAGGCCGATTACCCCGGAGCAGTGGGCAAGGTGCGCAGAGTGTTCTGCTCAGAAAGATATGTGATTTTTACGATAATTGGGGCACCCCTAACATAGACCCCCAAAAAGAAGGACTCCCTGATAATAAGGACCCCAGTAAACCCCACATCTGTAGAGACCAATCAATGTGCAACTCCAAGTCAGAATGCATGTTGCCACATGCAATGCGAGTTCGTCTCCATCTAGCTGGGGAGACGATTGGCGGACTTTTTAAATCTGACTGCAGTTCCGTTTAGAGGACGTGTGACAGCACAGTGGATACGGAGGCCTTGCGCAAGCGCGTGAAAGATTCGCGTGCCAAGAGCACAAGGGCGCCATCCGCAAGCTTCACAGGTTCTTGCTCTCTCCAAGTCGCAGCGTTGCGAAAAAAGGGTGGTACCAGGGCAGCTGATGAGACGCGTGAAGGTTCTACTGAGACTGTAGCTAGCCAGCCTGCTTGTGAGATCCGCACCGCAATATGCTGGTTTCACTCTTCAGGAGGGCATTCCTCACGTACATACAGATATATATATATATATATATATCTGTGCACATATGTATATTCTTCATTTGCTGATCCACGCAGGCAGTCAAGCAGGTGACGGCCTCGAAGAGCTTCAAGATGCCAGCAGCAGCAGAGGCATTTGCAGCCAGAGCCAAATCAGTTGTAGCATCAGGGCAAAAGGGGAAGACTGCGCCGAGATGGAAGCCTTTCAAAGAATCTTGCAAGGCTTTTGCAGAAAAGCTTTTGCAGAAAACCGTCGGAAGAGTCTCGGAAAATCCTTCCGGCTCCACTTGTTGCGGGCTGGAGGTTTTCTGATTCAGTGCTTCAGGGCTTTGCAGTAAAAAACGAGGTTGGGTTCTCTTACTGTTGTTTTACGTTCTTTGATGCATGCAGCGTTTAACCCAGCAAGTTCTCAGGGAGCATCCGTAGCCTGAACCGCCTCCGTCGTGGAGCTTGTTCTTAGGCGGCTCTGAAGCAGCTACCGTTAACGCCAGTTGAAGTGCGCCAGTTGAAGTATTGTCAGCGTTCTCAAGGCCTTTGGATAGATTTAACCTTTCCCATGTACGATTTTGGCCGGTCCCATGAATCCAGAAGACCAGCAGGTGAAACGCTATCGCAGTGAAGGCGAGTCGCTGGCAAGGCCTTTTCTCTTATTCAATCTCTAGGCTCACTGTAACTCACTGTGTTCATGTGGCTCTGCGTTGGAGCCCGGAGTACATGCAGTACTTGTCCGTTTCGTACACGTCAGATGCAGCACAGAAAGTATGGTGTATCATGGCTTCTGACCCTTCAGGTCCTTCTACCGCAACACAGAAGAGGAGGAGGAGCAGCAGGCAGCGTCCTGTTTTCATGGGCTGCCATATAATCATGTCGCACAACCAAAGCCATGCAGACTCATATGCTCAGAAGTTGTTCCCAACATGCCTTGATTCCTGCCAAGAAGTCAGGCCCGCCGGATGCTGCGGCGTTTGGAAGAACGACGGAGTCGCGCACAGTCTCGCTCGAGGCTGGTGGAAAAATGTCTCTCTCCACATCAAAAACTCCCTTTCTGGGCCGAGCTCAGGCCCAGTACTGCAGCGCCATCAGCAGAAGCCTCACCGCTTCAGCGAGGTGGGCAGCTGCATGCTTCCGTTTTTCCGGCTTTGAGGGCGTATCATTCTGCTTTCGTGGGTAAGTCGGAGGCATTCAAAGACTATTATTTGCTTACCTTGCAACAGCTGAAAGGGCTTCAATACTCAGCCCACGCCGGCACATTTGACAGAGTCGCAGCCCTGTATCGCAAAGTTAGTATAGACCACCATGACCACTTCATGAGGATCTGTGTCCAGAAGCCAGAAGCTGGCGAAGTAGCTTTGTGCGCAGGGTCTAACACATGGGAGGCACGAACTTGACTCTTCGTGCTTCGTAAGCCGTCTAGAACGTTGTGTCATGGCCCCATATATGCGAAGCAACGGCTTCCTCGGCGAAGGACTGATGCGATCCACCAGCTTGGCCAGCTTTTCGGCGCAGGGCTTAGATGTGTGCACACGGAAGGCAGGAAGGGGGCAATGTGACTGAGTACGTGCGCCACCGTTCGTGCACGCGGAGGGGCAGCCGCGCGTCCGACCTTGGTCCGTCCAGGGCAATTAATTTGACGACGGGGGGTTGGGAGGGCGTCGGACAAGCACTCCGTCACTTCGGAGTCAGAACTTCATTTCTGGCTTTCCAGTGTCCCTTCATTCTGGCACTGTTTGATGTCGCATGCGTCGCACAAGTGTCGCACAGACAGGCGCAGGCTTGAAGGGGGTGCTGATACTACAGCTAACCTGTTGCCTGCGTCCCACGTGCCGGAAGTGAGTTCTGTTACCAATAGCGCCAGCTGTCTGTGTGGTCAGCACTGAAGTCCGGACAACTGAAATTCGCTGGAATCCCATGTTAAGCATGTCAGGTGCAGTTGTTCGGGGTTAGATGGGGGAATATTTTGCTATGCGCTGAACAGTTCGTTTGATCCGCGACTCTGTGAGGATATG